CTCCAGTCAGGATGTAGTTATGGAGCGCTAATTTGAAAGTTGTCTGATTGAGGGCTTTGTGTGGGCCCCTACCTAACACACACACACACACACACACACACACACACACACACACACACACACACACACACACACACACACAGGCTATCACTTTCATCCTCACTAGACATCATATTTGTCTTCTTTGCAACATGTTTACAGTTGTAACTTTTATATCATTCCTAAAAATGTTGTTCTGTATCATTGCATTTATCATTTACTGATCTATAAAATGACATACATGTTTAATCAGTGATCTCTTCAGTTAAAATAATTATAATAACAACTGTAGATGTGATCAAGAGACTACAAAGTTTGTTAGAAAAAAATGTAAGTTAGGCAGCACTGCGAGTGAATATAGATTTTTAATATATCGTCCTTAATATAGGCTGGTCTTTAACTAATGACTTTATAAGTGGTCTGTAAATCGGATTTTTAAGGCTTTATATTTCTGCTGGACTCGTTGGTACTGAGCACACTGACACCTAATGGCTTCGCAGTAAGGCCCCGGTCTGCTTTTGACCACAAAGTATTCTGTTGAAACGGTCAGTGGTCACTGGCACGTCAACAGCGGTTGCAAAAGGAAAGCAGTGTCACTCCTCCCCTCTCATTTCCCCTGTCATCCTAGGTTATAAACCAATGGCCTCCCAATGGCCTCTTCCCTAACCTCTGCAGGCTACTAAAACCATATTAGGGGCATGTTAGAGTCCAGCGAGGGACTCTGGCCTCATGGCTCTCAGCCATGAGAGTTTAAGTCTGTCAGTCCTCAGCTGTTCCCACACAATGATGTGAGGATAGTTCCTCTCTGAGTTCAGTTAAAAGAGGTGGAATTAAAAAGCCTTGATTTGACCTCTGTGTCATAAGTGAATCAAAATAGAGATCAAGCTGCTGCCCTCTGTTGGAAAGGCTCTCTCTCTGTGTGTGTGTGTGTGTGTGTGTGTGTGTGTGTGTGTGTGTGTGTGTGTGTGTGTGTGTTCCTCCCGTGAACCTGACAGAGGTGACGTTACTGAATCTGGAAGTGATTCGCACAGGCTATGATGCTATTGGCCACAGTTCAGCGGAGGGTGTGTGTATGTGTGAGTGTATGCGTTACCAGTGAAAAATCAACATGGCTGCAGCACTCTGGAGAGGTCTTGCAATGAGGTAATTTCCCCAGAGTTTAACCCTCAAGAACATAACAGACATACATCCGTTTCCATCCCTCTGTTCTCCTCTGCTCCTCCGTCTTTGTTCTCTTTCCACCTGCGCCAGTTGTCTACCTTGAGTTGAGCGCAGTACATGTGTGATTCACCTTTTACTTTTGCCCTTTCCCAAGATTTAAAAATCCTCTCGCTCCAGGGTCCTCTTGTTCTTTTTCTTTGTTGCTTTAAGCAGACAAAAGATGGACAGACAGGCAGCAACATGAGGTCATAAGTTAAGAAAACAGCCATTCATCTTAAATCTAGGCAGCCTTTTGAACATTCAAACTTAGCTAAAACTTTGGGTTTACTTAGTTGAAATGTATGTATCAGTGAATTAAAATTGGCTGAATGGCATAAATGTATTGAATTTGATAAACAATAACATTTATTGTTTTTAATTTGCTCCTAGTAACTGCTAAAAGGCTAACCGCTAAATGATTAAAATTAGCATTAGCTTGCTAATCTGGCGTTTAAGTCTTTAAGAAAGTAAAGAGGGAAGCACTAATGCTTAGCAGTTGATAAAATTAATTTAGTAACATTAAATGTATAATAGCATACGTATTTCACGATAATCCTTCAAAAACAATATACAAGACCTACCTTAAACTGCAAAAAGTTTCGCTAATTTTACATGATTTTAGTTAAATTAGCATATTAGGAATTTAGCTACAAAAAATTGTGAAAAATAAATCGCACAATATTTCCTTGTGTATCCACATAAATATAGCAAAGTTATACCTTTTGTGAAAAGTCAGAAAACCCATGATCCAGTAGTTTTCAAAACCACCTTTAGCAACAGTAACTTGAAGTAACTGTTTTTCATTAATTGTCTTTTTCTAATTGTACTGCCATGAACTTTAACATTTAACATGCTAACTGACGCCTGTGGAGTTTTTTTGTTGTTTTTTTTTTGTTGTTTGCTGTTTTTTTGTTTTTTTGCAGTTTCTCTGCACACTGCATGGTCTGACCAAGCAATTGCTTTTATAGAGGGGCTCACTCTTGCTGATGGTCAGTGCATTTGATTAGCAGGTACTTTCTCTGTTGCTATGGAAGCAGTAAGTGTGTACGTAGTTACAGGCATGCAGAGAGTCCTATGAACAGACATGACTGTGTGTTCACACACTTTATTTAGCTCTAAAATGTCTGTAGCTTGTAGCATTACTTCCTCTTTACAGGTTTATGTTTAGCATGGAAGTTGCTACAAATATTTTCTACCTCTCTGTAGCCAGACTATATATAAAGAGTTATTTACATACTGTCTATGGTTTAGGGTGAATGTATATATTTTTTAAAAACTAGTTAAAAGTGCTTAGGAACTTCATAAGGGAGTCACATATAAAACTTAAGAATAGCCAGTGCAACCCAATCCTACCCTATTATCCCCCAACCACCCCAAAAGAACTCCTTCAGCATGAAATTATTACATTTCCCAGAGGTGAGCCAAGCTGAGAGGATGAAGAGCACAAGACAGGCAGTGCTGTGAGGGAGCAAACGCAGCTTTAGAAGCTGATACTCATAGGAAAGACTCATTTGTCACCCTTGTCTCAGATCCACATGTGATTGCGAGAAGTGTGTGTGTGTGTGTGTGTGTGTGTGTGTGTGTGTGTGTGTGTGCGTGCGTGCGTGCGTGCGTGCGTGTGTGTGTGCGTGTGTGTGTGTGTGTGTGTGGTGGGGCAAGGATGACTCAAAATTTTGGATGCTGTGAAGCAGCATCGCTGCTCATTCCCCGAGAGATCCGCCGCTCTGTTTCTCCATCTTCTTTTGCTCTCCCGTTCTCTTTGACCACTAAATGTTCTCTCACTGGAGGCACATGGTGATTATGGTGGATCCACATGAAGACATGTCAGTGACGTTATGAAGCACCGAGCAGTGTCTAACGTTTTGGGCTCAACAAAACCCTGTGGCCAGCTGTTACCATAGCAGTATTTTAGGGCTGTGTGTTTCTGTCTGCGCCGTGTGTGTGTGTGTGGTGTGTGAACACCGAAAGGGACAAAGTCATTTGTCACTTGTGGTTTCACATGTCTGGTATTGAAATCGATGACAAATCTATGAGGTGTGTGTCTGTATGTGGGTTCATATTTACTGGCACGAGAGCCGGTGATGTCATGCATGAGAATGTCTTTGTGAAACCAGCTATGCCCCTGCAGACTCCCACACTGTGCTGACTTTGCAGGCGCAGGGTGTGCGTGTTGTGTACACATGTGCACGAGTGTAGCCTTATTGCTTTTGTTGGACGCTTGCTGCAGACCACAGGGGAACACTGGCGCTCAGACTCCCATCATACATGCCTGCCATCCAGCATTATGACACTCTCCCACCTATGTGTGCTTGTGCACCAAAAACACGGCTGTCCGATTGTGTTCAGCTGTGTTCAGTTCCACCTAGGAGGCGTGTTAGAAAGTTTGAGATCTAAACTGGATGGACTGCAACCTTAATCCGCCGCTAATCAGCTCCTCGGAAAACTCACTCAAGCATCAGACTCTGTAGATTGCTCTGCCTCTCCCGGCAACTCCTTCTCAGTGTTTTCCCCCCCAGTCATCACTTTACGTTCTACCCGAATCACTCTATTTCACCCCCCACCTGCTTCCATGCCTCTCCCACCCCACCTCACCCCCAGTCATCCCTTGTTTCCCTCCTGGAATGAGAATCCTGCTCTCTCCTCTGTTTTTTCCCCTCTCCTGCTGTTGTGTGTGATGCCGAGAAGCCCTCAGGATTACATATAAGTCTTTTGTTTATCATCTCAGCTATTACTGCTAATGCTGTCTCTCCCTCTCTCTTTTGCAGCGTGTGTGTGGCGTGTCCGTGCTACGCATGTGTGGGCAAGCTCTCAGATCAAACACAGCGTAAGACGAGCCCATAAACAAGCCTTCAGGACCACTTAGGATTTTCAGGCAGAGCCAGTGTTGAGGGGGCGCGCGGAGGGGGAGTAAGGTACAGAAATCAGCTGCTCTGTTTATGTACCTTTCAGTGGTGATTACCGGTCCAATCTGTCTGTTTAACAGAGCAAATATCAGAGCCTTGCAGAGTGTGTGTGTGTGTGTGTGTGATGCATACAGTTGCAGTGCAGAGGGTTGGAGAGATGCCACCGAGTTGCGTGGAGTTAAAGCAGCAGTAGGCTACAGCAGTTAAGTGTTTATTTACTCATACGTACAAACCTAACTGAGAGAGAGGAAGCAGAGGGACCACCGCGGGACTGAGGATATGTGTCAGACATACTGTACGGCCTTGGCAGCGGCCCGTGTTTTGCACGCAGCGCAGTAAAAGCTGTGTACTGTGTGTGCTAATGCGAGTGGGCAGACACGCTGGCAGGTAGTTCCCAGCATGCAGGAGGGAATGTGTTTGCAGAGTGGAACATTCGCAGAGATGAATGAGCTGCATTATACACTCAGATATTATTTTTCATTGCATTACAGTGCAGTTGGTCGCGAGATCGAGTCGTTTGTCATGCAAGAAGTGAATGTAGGCAATGTAGCTGACTGAAAGTGTAAACAGTTGTGTCTTTGGGTGTCAGGTTCAATCTGATGAATGAATGGAAGATCTTGCATGGGGAATTGTTTAGGTTCCACCTGCGGCCACTGGATGGCACCAAAACTACACAAACACACCAAGAAACAAATAAAGGCTGTGGAGAGAAACTGCTAATAAATATATTATGAAAGCGGTAAATGTTAAACCGCTACCTGTAGTTAAACTAAGGTAGGTCATGGCTGCCTGCGTATTCTAAGACTGAAGCATATTCTCCAGCCTGTTGTTTGTTTGTTTTTTTTTATTCCGCCCCCCTGCAGCCACCGGAAACGCTAGATAAAGCCGAGGCTGGAAAGTGCGTCACACAGCTGAGCTGCGGAGAATAAACGGAACCTGCAGTCTAGCGCCGCAAGTCCCCCTCCCCTGTTATTTTTGTTTGCACAAGAAAAACCCAAGCTGACGTCTGTTCTTCCAGCATGGTGAAGATCGCCTTTAACTCGGCTCTGGCGCAGAAGGCGCTGGGCAAAGAGGTGCCAGCCGCTGTTAAGGTGAGCTAACGGGGCACAGCGCTGCGCCTGAGCCCGGTGTCCGACTTTAGCCTGGTAGCAGGCCTGCTGTGCCGGATCGGCCAGCAAAGCGTGTGGACTTCATCCATGTGAGCATTCACAGGGTTGTCGCGCATTGTTGTGCTAAGTGTGATTTGACACGCGGTGATTTTTGCATAGCGCATAGCGCAGGACACGATGGGACCGGCCTTCTCCTGCACAGCTGTTTTTGTGCGGAGGACAAAGATGGGGTGGGATTAAGGGATTGTTTAATCAAAGCTGAATGTGAATGTCATGCTAATATGATGTGTGCGTGTGCGTGTGTGTAGGACCCTGAAGTGGCCTCTGCTCCAGTGGGCGCCGAGGGCTCCACAGGTCGCTGCCTGCTCACCTTGTTAGGCATCGCCTTCATCCTCAGTGGGCTCATCGTAGGGGGGGCCTGTCTCTACCGATATTTCACCCCAAAGGTGTGTGCGCTGCAGCTCATTCTTCGTGAATATTCTCTTACACATGTTACCATCTTTTAAAAAGGGGTTGCAAAGAGTGGGAGGGGGTCTTATGAAATCAGAATATTTGATTTTAAAAAAAGCATTTAAAATCTAAAGTCCTCTCAAAGTAAGTACCTGTGTGTGTGTGTGTGTATATATATATATATATATATATATATATATATATATACATATATATACATACATATATGTATGTGTGTGTGTGTGTGTGTGTGTGTGTGTGTATACATTAGGCCATGATTGTGGTTTCATAACTGTGCATAACACTTTAATGTTGCAGATCCTTATAGTAGATTCATTTTCTGTCCATCCTTATGCACGTGAGGCACATGCCACCAGCTCTGCAAGCAAGTCACTGAAACGCGTAGAAAGTTAAACTAAAACCCAAGACTATTTTACGTTATAACCTTTTCCAAATTGTTTCATTTTCACGTTGCAAATACAGGTCAGTGAAATCACCATGCACATAAGGTTGGGGGAGGGGCATCTGTGGGGCAGACTTTGCAGACTTTGCAGACTGCCTCTGGGAAATTAAGCAGCTGTATGAATTAATTTGGTTATCCACTGACGTTATCAGATATGTTTTCTTCCTCTCATAAACTGTCACTGTCTAGAAGTGATGAAGAATTATTAACACTGGTTTGTACCGTTAGAAAACAGAGTGCTATTGTTCACTCCTTTTCATGTTTAGAGAAAGTGCAGACTTCACCTTTTTTCCCCCAGTTGTTGTGTTGCCAGCAGGAGGGTCTTAGAGTCAATGAGATGAGGCAACCCCACACCCATGCAAATGAAGCAAAGCGGGGTGGGGGGGAGAGCAGTGTGTGAAACTGTAACTGTCAGTATGTTGCTTGAGAAATTCTGATAAAATTGAGATTTCATCACAAGAATCTGTTGCTCTGAATTTTGTCGTGCTTTTGATCTCAGCTGTTTCCTCACTTCTAAGCTTTGAAACTGTAGTGACACATGATACACAGAAAAAGATAACAATGCAGCAAAACTCAATGGTCCAGTTTGTGGATTTGCACAGCATTGAAGTGAATCTTGGACTAAAGTGGAGAAACCCTTGCAAAAAGAATCCATATCAATAATAGGTGCTGCCCCCTGTTTTGGAGGAAGGAAGGTTCAGGGTTTCAGTAGTCGTCATCATGGGCTCATCCGATTAGAATGAAAATAAGCAGTCATCAATCATGTGCAGGTTTTGTTGTTTTATTGTATAACGGGTAAAGGAAAGAAAGACACACATGGACTGCTCTCTTCAGGGCTTAAGCAATCAGCATCATGGGCTCATCCGGTTAGAATAAGAATAAGCAGTCATCTAATTATTCTCAGGGTTTTCCTTTTATTCTCCAAATCAATAAGGCAAAGAAGGAAGGAAAGAAAGACAGAAAGAAAGACACACATGGACTGCTCTCTCTCAGCTGCCACCCCATGTGGGAGTGAAGAAAGAGTGAGGGGTAGGTGAGTGCAGTCCTTATATAACGAGTGACAGGTGAGTGCAATTAAGGCCAAGCACCACACCCAATCAAAGGTGAGGAAAAGAAACAAGGTGCATCTGGTGAAGTGAATGTGCTGAAAGGTGAGCCTTTACAACAGCCCCCTCAGTTCATTTCATTCTGTTTGAAAGTATGATTCTTTTGATTGGATGCTCTTTGCAAACAAAAGGTAAGAGCACTGGGTGGGCGGGGCTTCTGACATCTCAGCCAGAGCCAGTGTGCCATAATTATCAGCATAATTATCACAATTTGATTTGCAAGAAAATAAATGCCTCACATATGCCAAAAATGTTACTGGAAATCTTTATTATCAGTGCCATGTGGAGAGTGAGTGTGTAAACATAAGCTTAAAACCTGATATTAAAAGAAACTATGATCAATAGTCATGGAAAAACTGTAGGCTTGTTTGTGTAAACGTAGTCCTGCTATATGCCGTGATGTAACTGTGCTGGAACCAAGCAGAACATGCGTGCTTTGGCTCCCCCTGGCAGCCTGAGCTTCCTCGACAGCTGCGTGATTGTTTTTCAGTAGTTGGTGCAGTGTGTGAAACGTGAACTTTAGACAGGAACAGAACACACAGATTCACAGCTGATATTGCAGATTCACAGTAATACCAGATGATGCGTCTGTGGTTGTAGAGGCAAATCCCAGCTGCACTGCTGGTTGAAAATAAAATAACTCTATTACAGTGCGTTTTCTTTCTTTTTTTTTTTGTAAAATGTACATAAGCAAAGGTTCCAGTGCCCCCCACCTCACTTTACATGTTCTTAAGACTAAATGAGATGCATTCTTCATCAGAGGATGTATCATGGCGCGATGGAGTTCAGAGACGTGTCGTCCGGAGCAGAGAGCCAGCCTTACTACTTGCCGCGAGTGGAGGAGGAGGTGGAGATCTCTGACAACATCGCCGTCATCAGCGTCCCTCCTCCCCGCTTCAGGCCCGGAGACCCCGCTTACATCCTGCACGACTTCAACAGGGTGAGGATTGTGGACTCTGTCACACTTGGCGCAGCTCGGTGGATGATTTCTGCTGCTCTAAATTCTTTCCCGATGATTTCATGTGTGTGTGTGAGCAGAAGCTGACGGCCTATCTGGACCTGACTCTGAGGACCTGCTTTGTGATTCCCCTGAACACCTCAGTAGTTCTCCCCCCTCAGGACCTCATTGACCTGTTCTCACAGCTGATGGTGAGTACGGTCCCTCCTAGCAGCACCTGAAGACACAGATGAAAGTCCAGACTTGGATGACGGACAAACCGAACACATAAGTCTTGTTAAAGCTCATGCACACATAAGAAATTCAGGGATGTGTTGTCATTCCACAAACTGTCTGCTCTTTAATCCTTCTCAAATCTGTAATATCTTTAATTTGTACATATGAAGGTAGGTTTTAAATATTGGCTAAACTGTAAAGTTCCTGTAATTCAGTTTTCTATTATTCACTGGCAGAGACTATGCAATAATATCATCTTAAGTGAAACGTAGGTTCTTGACAGGAAACTAAAGATGATAAATGAGCGACTTCCACCCACAGGCTTGTCCCCTTCTTCCTTTATTCATGCAGTAAACTAGAAGTACGCTGCATTTATACTGCATACTTGTATTCAAAAAGTCTCCATATTCAAATAGGGACTTTTTAAAAATCATTGATGTAGTGTTGGGTAGTTTTAGCATGTGAAGGTGGAAAAAGCTTGGCGGAGTTTAGTTTGCTTAGTGAGGAAATCAGGAAATTTCAACACTTGGTGTAGAGTTGTTTCACAAATCTATGTTTCATCACCTTTTTAAAAAAAAAAATTTATTCAGTTTTCACTGATCTGTTTTATCTGGTGGAAGATCAAAAGTATTTTTTTAATTTAAAAAGGTGCCCTGACAGTCTCATGCTCTGGTCTTTGTTCCAGTCTGACTCTTACCGCAGCTACCTGGTGCACGAGGACCTGGTGGTGACGGAGCGCATTGATGATGTCAAACCCCTGGGCTTTTATATCCGCCGTCTTTGTGATGGAAAAGAAACGTACAGAATGCAGCGCCGTGCCAGCCTGCCAGGTATAGATGTGATGGAAATGTAAAACCTCTGATTAACGTGCAGCTCTGTGGCAACCCCTCGGAAATAGGGTGCAGACCAGAGGAACTTGTGTATATAACATGCATGTCTTTAACTGTATTAAGCTGTAATATATAATCCTCTTTAATCTTTATATTACTTAATTATATTATTTAATCTTTAATTACGACATCACTGCTGTTATGCAAGATTTTTTTGCTTTACTCAGCAAGTGCAAACTAAAAAGTTTGAGTTTGCAACTTTTCCATCCTGTACTTGTCTCGTATTTTAGAAAGGAAGCTACTTGGCTGACATTAGCTCTTTCATAAATAACCAGAACGTCAAAATCAATGTCTGTATATAAAATATATCTGAAACTGGACTTTGTCTTACAGTTTCAGGATCATTTGCATTCATAGCTATGTGTAGAGCTGTTAAGTCATAAGCTAACATTAGCGGTAGCTAATGGTAATAAATAACCACACAGTCAAAATTAGGTCTTGTATTTAAAAGACGGATGCCCCCAACATGACTGTGCTCCTTAGTTTCAGGACTACAGGTTTGTAGTCATGAGTTAAGCTTTTTGGTAATACCGTGGTGCTGCTTAGTCATAAACTAGCATTAGCGGTAGCTAATAGTAAGCCACACGATGAAAATTAGTGCTAGTATTTAAAAGACAGACCCCACCGACATGACTGTGCTCTTTAGTTTCAGGACTATAGATTTGTAGTCATGAGTTAAGCTTTTCAGTAATATTGATGTAGTAGTGTTGTAAAGTAATCAGCTAACATTATCGCTAGCTAAAAAATAGCCAGACCATAAAAATTACTGTACTGTATTTCACACTGGTTATGTATAAAACTGTATGAGCTAGCTTGTTTAGCAGAGTGTTAGTGTAATTTATTATGATTTTATCTTTTGGCTAACAGAAACAGCTTTCAAACAAAATACGCTGACCACAACATAAAGGAAGCAAGCTGTCACATAATGCAGTTACAACTTTAGGCCTTCATACATTTCTGATGGTTGAGTTATATAAACATGTATCCCTGTATAGTTCTTATCAAGGATGAAGTTAGCTGCTGACATTGATAACTTTTTATTTACTAGGTACACATTAATATTGATTTTGGAGTCACTAATCACTATGGCTCAAACAGAAACTGCTGACTTATCAAGTAGATGCAGAAATTATACAGTGTCAAACACACTTTGGTTAGAAACCGAATAAGAGGACGAGTGTAAACAGGCACCAACCATGCTTGACACATCTTCCTAAATGTAGTTGTGTTTGAAATGTGTCAAACGCCCACGGCTGAATATTGAGATGAATACTTAGCACTGCTGCTTATTTGTCTTTTTGTTTGTCAGGTGGAGGCATCCAGAAGCGCTCTGCGGACGAATGTTTCACCATCCATCACTTTGAGAACAAGTTTGTGACTGAGACCCGCATCTGCAAGGCTTAAGCATGAATATGGGTCATAGAGAGCGAGAGAGGGTAGGTGGGAGTGGGCGGTGAAGGGAACAGCAGAAAGTTACTTCTGTACAAAACTCTTTCCAGTTTTTGCCTCCCCTGCTTTTAATCTAGTGTTGAGTGAATTTAAGTTGCAGCATTAGAGCCTAGCCCCCTTCTCCTCTGATGTACTCCCTCGAACCCGTGATAGGTCACAAGTGCGTAAGTATTCATTAGCTAGTCTTGTACTGGTTATTACTTTAAGTCAGTAAGCTAAAGTTAGATATACAAGTTTCATTTATTACGTTGCTTTCTGTTTTGTTGCTGTAGTTTCCTGCAGACAGATCTTATTGATGTTACTATATAACGACACATCCGCCTCATCCAGAGCAGAGCTATTAGTCATCCTACTGAATATTCTAGTGAGATCATATTAGGCGTGTGTTGCGTCAACCTCCTGTCGCCGCTCTGACCCGGGTGCACGGTGCAGGTTCGACCAGGTATTTGTATTCTGTTACAGCGTGATATAGCACAAGTCAGCATGGAGATGTCTGGTACAGTATACGTGTAACATGCTTGTCCATGGATGGTAACACAACGCTCTCAAGTCACCAATGTTTGTAGATATCCCCCACAGTGCTGCTGTGTGATAACTTTAGTGTTTCTGATGGTCTCATACCTGATGGGAAACAGTCCAGCACCCTTACAATATATGACCAGTTTTTGTGTTTGTGTTTCAAGCTTCATGCGTGATCCTTAACCAGAGTGATGAGCTAACGATGAATAAGCTAAAGGGAAATTTCACTTAATTTGACTTGAAAACAGTCGGTTATCTAATTTGACTATTATGTATCCGTAGTGTTATAACACGAGATGGCTCCCTGTGATCTTTACACACATCGTGTGCTTAAATGGAAAACAGTCGTCCTTGATTTCTGAAGTCTGTCGAGCACATTTTAAGTCATTTTTTAGTAATTTCCTACTTGATGCCTGCACACAGAGACAATCAACAGGAAGTGTGTTTGTAAAGATGGGGTTTCTGTCTCTGCTTTTTAATTGAATACTAGAAGATATTAGGGGGGGAAACGCCCAATGTTGTGTGCAACTACTGAACTGAACTCCACTTTGTTGTTTGAATAAAGTTGCATTTGTTTACCTACTGAACGTCGCAGTGGCTTTGTTATTATAATGGCGGTGAAAGCGGCACCAACACTAACCCTTTTATCATCCTGCGAAGGACATCGGGTTATCAAAACACTGGATCTGGAGGAAAACTGTCGCTGCATTTCGGGGTTTTCCTCTCTTTCACTTGCTGACACTACTCGCCCTTCATCGAGGAAATGCAAATTGAGAGGGGGAAGGGGAAAAAAACATTTATTGAGAAATAAATAGGTTTAAAAAAATAACATTTTAAAACTCTACTTCCATATTTTCACATTCCCGTTTCAGCATAAATGTTATTTCCATAGTTTGCAGGAAGTTGAAGTTTGCATAGTCTTCAGTCTCAGTTAGTGGTTGCGGGGAGGCTGTCGCCACCAGAAGTTTAGTCCTCCTCTTCGTCCTGTTCTCCGGTTATACAGGACAGACGCCGGCTGAGATGTATGCTCTCCGGTATCTCTGGCTTGCTCAGTCGCCTCCAGAATTCATCAGTAGTGAAATAGTACATGATAGGGTCCAGGCTGCAGTTCAGGCTGGCCAGGCAGAGTGTGACTGGGTGACTTCGAAGAACCAGTTTCTGAAAGTCACAGCTGGTAACTTTCTTAGCTTTGACCATAAGGTCGAGAGGCATCGTGGCGTGGTAAGGTACAAAGCACACTAAGAAGACTACAGCACAGCTTAGTATCATCCTCAGCGCTCTCTTTTTCTCCCCTCTGTCAGAAATAGCATTTGCTGTATTTTCCCGAAGGCTCCAAATAGTCATGCACGTGCAGCCTAGCACCAAAACGAGAGGGACGAAGAAGCCGAACAGCTCTAGTAAAATCAAGAGGGCCCACATTGCCAAAGGACCGATATCCTTCCGCAGAGGCAGCTCCGTGAAACACTTATTTGTGTCGTTCCTTTCGGGCAAGGAAGGATCGTGTCTGAGCAGAGGGAATCCGAGGCAGACGGTACAGATGATCAGCCAGATGATCCCACATATTAACATGTCTCCTTTTTGTCGACCCGAGTTGTACAACAGCGGACGCATGATGAGCTCACAGCGACGTATGCTGACGAAAACCAGGAAGTAGATGGAGGCATACATGTTGACGTACTTGAGATAGAAGCAGAACATGCAGAAGAAATACCCAAAGGGCCAGGAGTTATTCAGGTAGTAGTAGATCCGCAGAGGCAGAGAGAGCACCTGAGGAGAGGCCAGAGTGACAAAATTGAAGGCAGAGAACAGCAGGCAAACGCTGATGTACATATTTGCTCTTTGGCGATGATGGTAAGGAGCTCGCTTGGTTATCTAGTAAACAGAAACATTTCTAAATAGATTTTTAAAATAAAATCCTCCCCGTTAGGCAGTTCATTGGAATAAAGAGATGAACTTCTGTAGTTGTTGTGTTCTATAATGGAAGTTTTTTCTTGTGGTTGGAATTCTCCCACAACTCTGCCAACATCTAAGAGTCATTTTGTTTTTTTGACTTCCTAAGTTAGTACATGAAAGCAGAACAAAAACTAAAGAGGTCATTACACTAATTTGCTTTATTGCAGTTTTAAAACCGTATTGTAGGATCAGCATTACAACACTAAATGTAACTATTAGAGGCACGAGTAGTGTAACAAGTACTTCTTGCATGCAAACTTCTTCCCTGATTAAAGCTTGACCCCTGAGGACGGCTATGTGGTCACTTAACCACACAACCACATCATGTGATTTCACAGTAATGGTTTAAACTAGAAAGTAAGTGCGAAATACGACTGAAGAGGATTTTTTACCTGCAGTAGGTCGGCCACAGCCAGGTTCATCATGAACACCACGGCCTTCTTGGTCTCTCTGATGTAGGCCCTGAACACCCACAGCGCCAGCACGTTACCCAGCAGGCCCGGTGCTAAGATCACACTGTACACCACGGCATACAAATGGTGCTGGTAGTCTATTATCTCACTGGTATTGGAGCAGTTCATATTAGGAGAACTGACATTCATGTCAGTGTTAAGATGAGCTGCCTTGCAAACCAGCAGGAAGCTTGTATCAGCAGAGCTGCTTGTAGTCCGGTGACGGGCTGGTTTGAGCATCCATGCCGCTGGTTACATCATGCTGCAGCCCGTGCAGCTGGTACTCTCTGCGGCATGTCAGACAGAGGAAGAGTGTCTTTTGTTTTAAGTTTTTGTCCAGCGCTGATGTGTCCTCCAGGCTTCTCTGCGATCCCCAAAGAGTCTGGTGGTCTGGTAGAGGAAAGAAAAGTAAGTTAAGTTAGTGTAGTCGGAGGTGGAAAGCGTTACCAGAAAGAGGAAGAAAAACAACTACAGGTTTCTGTGCTGTCACCTCACACCAAGAGGTTCTGTCTCTGCCTGTTTTCTCACACACTGTAGTACAAATCAGCTCTTGACAGCGACGCAGTTGAGTTTTAACTGCTTTATCTTTCGCCTAGTGCAGCCTAGGGATATTAAAGTTACTGTTTTGCATGTTGCATAGATAGCCATCAGAATTGGAGAAGGAACCTTTTTAGATGAGACACAGATGACATTGTGCTCGGCGGCAGCACCTGCCAGCTATAATCTCCCATGTGTTTTTATGAATAACGTAATTAATCAATGATCCTTGATAGCTGTGTTTTTGCAGTGCCCTTTACAGCAAGCGTGCAAACCCGCAGAGAAGTCGGTAAAATCCCCCACGTGCTGCTTCACTGCCGAGCATTATGGTGCCTGCACTGAGTCTGTGTGAAATAACTACGGCGCAAGGCATCAAAGTGAAACTAGCGTGGTTAGCGCAGGCAGACCAGGCAACTGGTTAACAGCCCAGATCAAGGAAAAACCTGTCACTAAAGAGCACTTTGAGATGAGGAGCAGCACCGCGGGTGGTTTTTCGATGTAGGTGACGCCTGTAACGCGCTTCTTTTTTTCCCTCCTTCTTTGTGACACACACACAGAGCAGAAAATGAAAGTAACAGAGATGAAATTTTAAAGCTTTTAGATGACCTTCAACTTAGATTATCTTCAAATGCTTTCGGTTCAAATGGAAATAGTAATGTTAGGGACTGAACAGCCTATAGGTGCACACACCCACAGCTATAAACTTTAGTGCGTATAAACCAGTTTAAAATTATGTTTTTTTACTTACTGTTGTCATCCTCTTTTTGATCAGCTTTTGTTTCTTGTTATCTTATTTCTAATGAGACTTATTAGACCCTAGCAAACCCAGGAACGATGTGGTGTTGTGATCTTCCACATACCTAGTACCCAGACACCTGCTATGCTCAAATAAACATCTCCATGTGTTTATTTCTGGCCTCCATTAGTACATTAATCCTCTATCAGTTTAAAAGGGACAATGTTTATCATGTGGACCCTTAAATCATACACTGTCTTCCTCCCTTCCCCCTCTCTTTAAGCTAGCTTTCTTCTGATTGGCTGCTCCTTGCAACCAAAAGGTTTGAATAGCTGGTGGGTGGAGCTGCTGTGCTAACCGCATTGGGATATTTTTAAGTGACATCATCCAGAGCAAAAAGCAGTGAAAAAAAGAACAGAAACTGTGTTTAGAGTATTCTGAAGCCTGAACTTTGACTCACAGGGATTAGTAATGCATACTCTGATGTCATTATTTGGAACTTTGGCCTTGTTTAGCACTATGAGAACACTATATATGTATGGCAGAATGTTAGCAAAGCATATTAGACCTACTTTAACCAGTTTCAGGACATCTCAGGATCATTTATGAACCATTTTATCGATGTGAAAATGCAAATCAGCCAGTAAAATATTGTTCATATTTGACAAGAAACTTACTGCCACGTAAACTGTTCAGAAAAGCATTTTTTGTTTTGTTTTTTACACCTACTATACTCAAAACTAGAGATGGACCGATCCGATATTACGTATCGGTATCGGTCCGATACTGACCTAAATTACTGGATCGGATATCGGAGAAAAATAAAAAATGTAATCCGATCCATTAAATATCACGAAAGCACCTCACAAAACTTGCAACACGCCGTAACTCACCTCAGAACGTTAGCAGTATGCATCACGTGATAGAGCGGCTGTGGCATGCGGGACCTGTGGTCTGGATAGCATTTGGAGCTTCGCTATAGCAACCTGGCATTTCATCTCCGACAAAGTTATCCCCGAGAGAAGTAAAGCAAGTGTGTAAGTCCATCTCTGAATGTTTGTAAAGCATTCCTGCGTTAAGCTTAACGAGCGACTGCCTCTCGCTCTCCGGCTGCTACTTCAATCGTGAAACTGCTTAAATGATCAGCTGATCGGCTTTTCTGTCGCGAGTCCGTCTTTGTTTTTGGCCCACTTTGCACCAGAAAGAGGAAACCAGCGGCTGAACAACAGCAGCACGTTTAAGCTTGATCAGCTGTTGTTAGAATTTATTTAATATTACTTTCTACACCAGGATCTTTTTCTACGTAGCTGACGCTGGTAACTGTGCAGGGGCGGATCTAGCAAAGTTTAGCCAGGGGGGCCGATAGGGCATTAACTGGGAAAAGGGGGCACAAAGACATACTTTTCTTTCTTATTCTCATTTAAAATGTCTAGCTTTTAATAAATAATTATCTGACACACAAAGTTTTAATTTGATGTAAAATGAATAGAAGTCAATTACTGTATATAGTGACTATTAAGTCTAATATATATACCCTAGTAAGCTATAGTACTTTTTCCTTTGGGAAGGTACCATCTGTGCAGTCTGCAATTTTGTTGAAGAAAGATGTTGAATCTATTTAATATTTCTTGAAAAATAATTGATTTCTGTGCATTTTTTTTCACACTGCATCAAATTAAGGTTGATTACGTCGATTAAGCATCATGAGGTGGCGCGTGAGGGGTGGTTCCCTATTTTTTATTTATTTATTTTTGTTGTTGCTGGGAGTTGGAACCCTATTAGTTAGGTTGCTTAATATTTACGCTAAGTACTCTTTAAAATACCAGAATAGGGAGGATGGTGTAGGTCTAAGTTTATTAGATTGATCAGTATTGCTGAACTATGAAATATTTTTTTTGTATACAGGTAT